ATATAAAGTTTTTTTATGATTTATTACATTCAGTATTCCAAAATCAATTCCAAAACCAGTGCACCTTCTTACCACCTTTATGTTTTTTCTTATATTCATTGAAGACAGTGACAATTTTCACGTGTTTTGTTTCCATTTGGCTAATTTATACTTATACTGTTATGTTAGGAAGGATGTATAAAATCTTACTAATTTTTTAGTCAATAGAGTTGGTCTTACTCTGTGTGTGTGTTTTAGTTGAAAGAATTGATCAGTCACTTAAATATTTTTCACAGAGATACCCTTGCTTTAAAGGCAAAGTAAAGGTTCACCCACATGCTAACTTATGACTAATGACCCTAATTAGTCTAACTAATGCCCCTAATACACATTTTTTTTATTTCTTTTCACATCTCTCCATTCTTAAATTTCACGGTATCTTTTGGGAGTTTAACAATAACAACTGGAGCACTGGAGTGATAGCACAGTGGTAGGGCCTTGCACTCAGCTGACCTGGCTGACCCGGGTTCAATTCCTCTGCCCCTCTCAGATAGCCCAGCAAGCTACCAAGAGTATCTTGCCCACATAGCAAAGCCTGGTAAGCTACCCATGACATATTTGATATGCCAAACACAGTAACAACAAGTCTCATAATGGAGACGTTACTGGGCCCACTCGAACAAATTGATGAACATTGGGAGGACAGTGCTACAGTGCTAGAGTATTTTTGGGAGCAGCTCTATTTCTCAAAGTTGCATAATATTCCACCATCATAGAAACTGTTTTCCTTGACATTTGACTATGTAGCTATTGGGGTCCCGGGTGACTTATAAGAGGTGGCGAGGAGAGAGGCAGCCACCTCCAGAAGGAATCAAGAGCTTTCTCTCTACCATCCTCTGCCAACATGGGAATGGAGGGGAAGTGTAGGACTGGTAAGAGTCAGCTGTGAGCCTTGCCCTTTGTAGGAAAAGAAGGTCAGGAGACAAGCAGTCAAGTATAACACGTTTTATTATTAAGTTTTGAGGAAGAGGGGAGCAGAGAATAAGGCACTTGAAGAGAATGTGGGCTTCTCAAGAGTGAAGAGGGAGCCCCAGGACACATTCCAGCATAAAAGGATAAAAGTCCATATGTCAAGAGGAGAATGTGAGTGACATGTGTGCTTGAGCACCACAGTGACCCAAATGCTTGGTCAGCTGGCACATGGGCCCACTTCCTTTGTTTAAGCTGGCTTTATAGGGTTTCTCCTGAGCTACCCGAGTTCGATTCCTCCACCCCTCTCGGAGAGCCCAGCAAGCTACTGAGAGTATCTCGCCCAAACAGCAAAGCCTGGCAAGCTACCTGTGACGTATTCAATATGCCAAACACAGTTAACAATTGTCACAATGGAGATGTTACTGGGCCCGCTCGAGCAAATTGATGAATAACAGGAGGACAGTGACAGTGACAGTGACCCTACTACTACTACTGCTACTACTACTACTGCTGCTACTACTACGTGGGTTTTTTTTCCCTGGGCAAGAGTGCATTGGTGGGGCTGGAGTGATAGCACAGCGGTTAGTGCATTTGCCTTGCACGTGGCGGACATGGGTTCAATCCCCAGCATCCCATAACGTACCTCCAAGCACTGACAGGAGGAATTCCTGAGTGAAAAGCCAGAAGTCTCCCAAGTGCATCCCCGGGTGTGACACTACCCCCCCCCCCCCCCAAAAAAAGTTCATTGGTAGGGAGATTGCCAAGGGATAGAACTGGGGTTAGTTGAGGGTCTTCTTTGACATTCCTTTGCTGGCCTTTGTTCCTGCTGGAGCTTCTGGGAGGGGGGAGGGGGAGGAGGAGAGGTCTGTTTCTAGCCTCCTCTGGGTCTGTTCGGGGCTGGAGCGATAGCACAGCGGTAGGGCGTTTGCCTTGCATGCAGCCAACATGGCCGACCTGAGTTCGATTCCTCCGCCCCTCTCGGAGAGCCCGGCAAGCTACTGAGAGTATCTCTCCTGCCCAGCAGAGCCTGGCAAGCTCCCCGTGACGTATTCGATATGCCAGACCCAGTAACAACAAAGTCTCCAATGGAGACGTTACTGGGCCCGCTCAAGCAAATCGATGATCAACGGGAGGGCCTTTACCTTTACCTTTACCTGGGTCTGTTCTGGTTTCAGTTAGGGGTCTTATATGGTCTTAGTTCTTGTGTCCACAAGGTGGGTCCTAGCAGCCTTAGGGCAAATGGGTTTTATGACTTCACAAGAGCTCACTATTGTCATGGGGGTGGGGGTGAGGGGTAGGTGGAGAAGAGCAGGGGTTGTTTCCCTATCTGCAAGCCTACCTGCTCCAACTACACAACTACAGATTGCATTGATATTTTCCTAGGTTATTTTGTTGGAAAGGGTGTTCCCTTAACCAAGCAAGGAGATTATCTATGGTGGGGAAACAAGAAGGTCTTTATTACACCAGCTAATGAGACCCCTGGGTCTAGGCTAGGCCAGCATCTGAAGTCTTAGATGAGGCCCAGGTGCTCCAGGGCTTTTTTTTTTTTTAAATAAGAGTGTACTGCAAACTCACTGCGTTGCTTCATGATCAAGCAGTGTAGCGAAGCACACACAGGATGGCATCAGTTACGGTATAGAGACTTTCCTAAAATCAGCATTATCTTAGCTTGGAACAGGAAGTTCATCCCAAGTACAGACAGAATGGGCAGCTTTTTATTTATTTATTTATTTATTTATTCATTTATTTTTGTGATGATTGCTCTGTCTTTCATATTTATTGATCTAAGAGAGAGCAACCATATGCACCATGAATATGATGTAGGCAGGACAGGGAAGGCCCCCTCCCAAGTCAATGGCAAAAATTCGCATCTTGCAGAAAACAGGAAAAAGCAGAAACTATGGTCTGTTAAGACCCTCACCTATCTACAGCAACAGACCCAGAGAAGCTCCTGCAGAAACAAAAGGCCAGGAAAGGAATTTCAAAGAAGACCCTCAGCTCCTCCCACCCCCCTTGGTAACCTACTTAGCAATGGACTTTGACCTAGGTAGAAGCCAGACTTGGGGACAGACTGGAGAAACCCTATAAAGGCCACCTTTAACAAAGGAAGGGCGCACTTACGCTGTCTGAGCCCATGTGCTGCTTGTGCCCACATGGCTGAGCACATGTGATGTCCGAGCACATGTGTCCCCCGCATCTCCTCTCAAGATGTGTACTTTCATGCTTTCCTGTCTAATGCTGGCATATGTTTAGGGGCTCTCTCCACCCTTGGAGAAGCCCACGTTCTCTTTTGAGCACATTACTCTCTCTCTCTCCCTCCACACCTTCAAAACCTCCAAATAAAATCTGTTTGACTTCACTGCTTGTCTACTCCAGAAATTCTTTTCTGCGAGGTGAAACAAGAACCCAGTAACCCTGGATCCCAGGTGGCAGAGACGGATGGGGAGAAAGTGACCATCTTTCTCCTCCCTGCTTCACATCGGTCACCAGGGGGACCCACAGACATCAAATGAGTGCCATATGTTGGGCAGTTTCTCTGTTCTTTAAAGGAACTGTTTTAACGCTTCTTGCATTTCTTAAAAACTCCCCACCTGCAAGTAAAATCCTCTCTTTAAAGTAAGGTAAAGGTAAAGGCCCTCCCGTTGTTCATCAATTTGCTCGAGCGGGCCCAGTAACGTCTCCATTGGAGACTTTGTTGTTACTGTGTTTGGCATATTGAATACGTCACGGGGAGTTTGCCAGGCTCTGCCGTCCGGGTGAGATACTCTCGGTAGCTTGCCGGGCTCTCCGAGAGGGGCGGAGGAATCGAACTCGGGTCGGCAATGTTGGCTGTGTGCAAGGCAAGCGCTCTACCGCTGTGCTATCGCTCCAGCCCCCAAACCAAAGATACATAAAATAAATTTCCATCATAACAATTTGTGTCCATATATCTTTATAGAACATGACACTAGAGCTTCAACATGAATTCTTTTGCAGTCTCTTGTATCTCAATATGAACTTTGCTCTAAGTTGAATGAATGAATGAATCTCGTTAGTTACTTAGATGGTACATAATATATCACGGGAAGGCTGATATGATGACCTTTTATTATCTTTGTAAAAATTATAGCAACCAGGAAGATAGTAGTGTGGGTAGGGCACTTTCTTTGTTATGGCCAACCAGGATTTGATCCCAGCACACCATAGGGTCTCCGAAGCTCTTGAGTCATTTCTGAGTGCAGACCCAAGAGTAAGCCCAAAGGAGTGCCGGGTGTGGCCAGGTTTTTTTTTTTAATTAAAAATATATGAATGCAACAAAATATTTGTATGATGGAGTTGATCTTGTTCCTTCAAAGAAAAAGGAATACATATTTTTTAAAACAGTGGGCTGTTACCAAAGACATATTTTCTGCAAGCCTCAAACAGGATTTGCTCTGAATAATGCTTCAAGGCACAAAGAGATCCCAGCTCCTAGGAGAGTGACCTGTCCAGAGCATGACTGAGCTGAGAGTGCAGAAACCAGAGCTAAGAGATTTCATTGTTCTCCACCTGTCTCGCTTGCTTCATCCACAGTCCTACAAGCCAATGTGACCACAATAGAACATTAATTAAAACAAGAACTGGGGTTAGAGTGATAGCACAGTGGGGAGGGCATTTGCCATGCATGCAGTCGACTCGGGTTCGGTTCCCAGCATCCCATATCATCCCCCGAGCACTGCCAGGAGTAGTTCCTGAGTGCAGAGCCAGAAATAACCCCTGTGCATCACCAGGTATGACCCAAAAAGCAAAAAAAAAATTAAAAAATTAAAATAAATAAAACAAGAACCTAAGTCCTGTCTGTCTCATTGAAAAGTAATTGTGTTTCTCTATTCAAAATTTACAGTCTTCTCCAGCACATAGAACCAGAAAACCTTACAGGAGTTACAGAATTTCTTCTTCTAGGATTCTCTGAGGAACTGGAAGTTCAGCCCCTCATCGTTTACCATTTCCGGTCCATGTACCTGATCACCGTGCTGGGGAATCTGCTCCTCATCCTGGCCGTCAGCTCAGACCTCCACCTCCACACACCCATGTACTTCTTCCTGTCCAATCTGTCCTTCGTGGACATCTGCTTCACCCCCACCACCGTCACCAGAATGTTGGTGAACATCCAGACACATAGCAAAGCCATCAGCTATGCAGGATGCATCACCCAGATGTACTTTTTCATCCTCTTCACAGGCCTGGATGATTACATCCTGACAGTGATGGCCTATGACCGCTTTGTGGCCATCTGCCACCCCCTGCACTACCCAGTCATCATGAACCCCCGGCTTTGTGGGCTGCTCCTTCTGGTGTGCTGGATCACGAGTGTCCTGGATTCCTTGTTAGAAATCCTCACGGTGTTGCCACTGTCCTTCTGTGTGCATGTGGAAATCCCTCACTTTTTCTGTGAAATCAATCAAGTGGTCCATCTGGCGTGTTCTGACACTTTTTTTAGTGACTTGGTGATGTATATTTCAGCAGTGCTCCTGGGGGTCGGCACCCTCATTGGGATCCTTTATTTCTACTCTAAGATAGTTTCCTCCATCCGCAGAATCTCCTCAGCTCAGGGCAAGTATAAAGCGTTTTCCACGTGCGCGTCTCACCTCTCCGTGGTCTCCTTGTTTTACGGCACATCCATCGGAGTGTACCTGAGCTCTGCTGTGACATAGAACTCACAGAGCACTACCATTGCCTCGGTGATGTACATGGTGGTCAGTCCCATGCTGAACCCCTTCATCTACAGCCTCAGGAACAAAGACATCAAGGGTGCTCTGACACATCTCCTTGGGAAGAAAAAATGAAACGGCACGTGTCCTAGTACTAGTGAACTGCATCATTTCAGGGCTACGAATCCTGAGAACAAGAAATTGTGATCTGTTGACCCAGCGATACCACTCCTGGGAATATATCCCAGAGAGGCAAAAATGTGTAGTCAAAGTGACATCTGCACTTGTTTGTTCATTGCAGCACTCTTTACAATAGCCAGAAACTGGAAGAAACCTGAGTGCCCAAGAACAGATGACTGGTTAAAGAAACTTTGGTACATCTACACAATGGAGTACTATGTAGCTCTTAGAAAAGATGAAGTCATGAAATTTACATACAAGTGGTACAATATGGAAAGTACCATGCTAAGTGAAATGAGTCAGAAAGAGAGGGATAGCCATAGAAAGATTGCATTCATCTGGGGGATATAAAGTAAAAAAATATGAGATTAATACCCAAGAATAGCTGAGATCAACACCAGGAGGATTACTCCATAGCTTAGAGGCCAGCCGGGTATTCTAGGGGAAAGGGCAGTTCAGATAGAGAAGGGAGCACCAAATAAAGGCTGTTTGGAGGATCCTCCCAAGGAGGAGAGATGCATGTTGAAAGTAGACTATGGACTGAACATGTTTGCCACTCAATGCCTCTTTTGCAGACCACAACACCCAAAAGGAGAGAGAGAACAAAAGGGAATGCCCTGCCACAGAGGCAGGGGGAGGGGGGTGGGGGTGGGGGGGATATTATCCATGGTGGTGGAGAATGGGCACTGGTGGAGGGATGGGTATTTGATCATTGTATGACCGAAACCCAAGCACAAAGATTTGTAAATCTACAACTGTACCTCATGGTGCTTCACTAATAAAACAAAAAGAAAGAAAGAAATTGTGATCTGTTAAATCAGAGTGTCAGCATGGTACCCCATTGACAATGATTCAACTTTAACATGTGCCTGTTAAGGAGATGAGGGGTCGGGGAGGGAACCTGGGGCATTAGTGGGAGAACCCCGACACAGGTTGGTCTTGGAGGTAGAACATTGTATGTGAGAGTCTACTGATGACGGCTTTATTAACCACTGGTGCCTAAATTTCAACCTCCCCCCGAAAAAAATTTTAAAATTAGAAGACAGAGAAACTTCTAATTTTATGTGTGTGTTTTTTAAAAAAAATCTGAACACCTAATAAAAATCTTTTATTTATTTATTTATTTATTTTTATTGAATCACCGTGAGCTTCAGTTATAAGCTTTTATGTTTGAGTTTCAGTCCTACAATGACTGAACACCCATCCCTCCACCAGTGTACATTTTCCACTCTCAATGTCCCTGGTATTCCTACTCCTCCACTCCACCCTTCCCCCTGCCTCTATGGCAGATGGTAATAAAAATTCTTCACTTAAAAAAACAGAGTCTGGATACTGGACCTGCTGCTTTTGTTTATGTTCTGAGTGTTTCCCTTTGTGAGAAAAAATTATCCTGTTTTTATACCTCTAGGAATACTTTTTCCTCTTTCAGCTTTCTTTGCAATAGAGATCTAGTTTCTCTATTCTTAGCTCTCAAATGTATTTCAAACATTTCTTATGAAATATTTGAAAACCACCATTGAACTATGACTAAAAGAATTTTTTGTGTGGGAGAAGTGGGGGAAGAGGGCATACCCGGCTGTCCTTAGGGTTTACTCCGGACTCTGCACTCAGGGATCACCCATGGAAGGCGCAAAGGGACTCTATTGGGTGCTGGGGATGGAAGCTGGTCAGGTCATACAAAGGGAGCTGGGGAACAACTGAAGGCTTCCCTGTCTCTCTCGCCCACACCTGGATTTCTTTCTTTCTGTTTTTTTTTTGTTGTTGTTGTTGTTGTTTTTGGGTCACACCAGGCAATGCTCAGGGGTTACTCCTGGCTCTACACTCAGGAATTACTCCTGGTGGTGCTTGGGGGACCCTATGGGATGCTGGGAATCGAACTCAGGCTGACCACGTGGAAGACAAGTGCCCTACCCGCTGCCACACATGAATTTCTTAAGAACACTTTTTAAAAAATTTTTATTAGTGAAACACCATAAGGTACAGTTGTAGGTAAGGTAAAGGTAAAGGCCCTCCCGTTGATCGTCGATTTGCTCGAGCGGGCCCAGTAACGTCTCCATTTGTTACTGTGTCTGGCATATCGAATACTCTCGGTAGCTTGCCGGGCTCTCTGAGAGGGGCTGAGGAATCGAACTCGGGTCGGGCATGTTGGCCGCGTGTAAGACGAACGCCCTACCCGCTGTGCTATCGCTCCAGTTGTAGACTTACAAATTTTTGTGCTTGGGTTTCAGTTATACAATGATCGAGTACCCATCCCTCCACAAGTGCCCATTCTCCACCACCACTGATCCCAGTATCCCTCCCACCCCCATCCCCCCATTCCACCCTGCCTCTGTGGCAGGACATTCCCTTTTGTTCGCTCTCTCCTTTTGGGTGCTGTGGTTTGCAAAAGAGGCATTGAGTGGCAATCATGTTCAGTCTATAGTCTACTCTCAGCATGTTTCTCCCATCCTGGGAGGATCCTTCCAACACCCTTTATTTGGTGCTCCCTTCTATATCTGAGTTGCCTTTTCCCCTAGCGTGTGCAGCTGGCCTCCAATCCATGGAGTAAACCTCCTGGTACTTATCTCGGCTATTCTTGGGTGTTAGTCTCTTATTTTGTTTCTTTATGTTCCCCAGATGAATGCAATCTTTCTATGTCTGTCCCTCTCTTTCTGACTCATTTCGCTTAGCATGATACTTTCACACATGGATTTCTTAAGAACACTTTCTTCCTAAAAGATCTGCATGCTCACTTGTTAAATGGATGTAAGGTCTTGCAGACTAGTGACAAGATGTAAAACTGAAAGTTAACAGGACCACTGGGGCCCCATTTTGAAACTAGACTCTATTTTGTGCCTAAAGGTGGTGAATTTAAAAAGTAAGTGAGGTGGGACTGGAGCAATAGTACAGTGGGTAGGGCGTTTGCCTTACATGTGGCCAGTCCGGGTTCGATTCCCAGAATCCCATGTGGTCCCCCAGCACTGCCAGGAGTAATTCCTGGGTGCAGAGCCATGAGGAACCCCTGTGCATCACTGGGTGTGACCCAAAAAGCAAATAAATAAATAAATAAATAAAAGTAAGCGAGAAAAAAACCCCAAGGTTGGTGACAAGTAGATTCCAATACCCAACCACAGATAAGGAGGTAACTGCCTCAAGACATATAGATACTTGACTAACTTCTGCCTTATGACATGGGTTAAAACTTCGCTTAATTTCTAACTTGCAATAAACAAGTAAGATTAGTCAATTAATCTCTTGGTTTGCTTCTGTACATCTGCTTTGCCTAGATGGGGAAATTAGGGGCATGATATATGTTCCATTTGCCCTGGAAGAAAAATGTATAAGGAGAGTCGGCCCAGTGTTGGGGTTCCAAGCCCAGGGAGCGGTCCCAGCTTGTACACCTCAGCACTGAGTCCCTTGCATGAGTGAGTTTCAGTGTGTGTCAATAAAACCTGAAAAATTCTGTCCTGTCTTTGTGTGTCTTAGTTGGCGGCTGAGCTCAGGCTTGAGGCCACTTAACAAGACAACCAAAGGAAAGGGTGTATATTATGGCCAAGTACTTTTTATAATTTTATTAAAATGGAAAGCCTGATAGCATAATTTTCCTTTGGGGGGAAACTGATACATGCATATCCATATGTGTATCACTGAACTTACTCTTCTACATGATGTAGACATCATGTATCATGGTCCTGGGTCTAATTGATGTGAGCAGGCAGGGAGGGAAGGCCTCCTCCCTCAAGACAATGGCAACGAATTTCCTGGGAACTAATGATATCAGTAGCCCTGAAGTTGCAAAAAACCAACTTTGCAGAAAACAAGAATTAAAGCTTGATAAGACTTTCACTGGCAGCAACAAACCCAGAGAGTTTGTTTGGACTACCCCCCCCCCCACACACACACACACTCCCCTCCCACCCTGCAACAGAAGCTCCAGCAGAAACAGAGGGCCAGAACAAAATTTCAAAGATGACCATCACCACTCCCAACCCTACCCGGCTTTGGCAACCTCCCCAGCTACAGACTTTTACCTAGGTAGAAGCCCCAGGTGAGGGCAGGTTGGAGAAAACCTATAAAAGTCTCCTTGAACAAAGGGAGGGTGAGCATGTACTGCCCACGCCCATGTGCTGCTTGCATCATAAGCTCTTCACTAGGATCTTGGGTTCTCTCTGGTCCACGTCTAGCGTGTCTGCCAGAGTCACTATTTCTGCACCAGGAGAGTGGTGTTGCTGACGAATGTGATTCTTTGCTTTGTTCAAAATGGGCTTTCTCAGGTTTTCTAACAACTAAAGGGATTCTGAGTAAACAGCATCAAGCAAACTCTAACAGCTGCTCCCTGCTTCTGCCTGCTACTGGCCCCCAGTGAATAGGTGTGAGTTTCCAACAAATGATAGAAAAATAGAGAAAGCAAGTAGGGGGCTAACATGGATTGAAAGTATTGACTATATATATATATATATCCGGCTATATATATGTGTGTGTATATATATAGTATATATACATATATATATAGTATATACACACACATATATAGTATATATACACACATATATATATAGCCGGATATATATATATATATATATATATAGTCAATACTTTCAATCCATGTTAGCCCCCTACTTGCTTTCTCTATTTTTCTATCATTTGTTGGAAACTGATTCATATATGTATATATATATATATACATGTATATATGTATATATACTATATATATATACACACACATATATATAGCCGGATATATATATATTTGCTCGAGCAGGCCCAGTAACGTCTCCATTGGAGACTTTGTTGTTACTGTGTCTAGCACAGCGGGTAGGGCGTTCGCCTTACAAGCGGCCAAC